AAATAGAATGAAATCCACTTAGGGCAAGGATGCACTTAAATGAGTGCCTATGCTTGTCACAGGCTTGTCATGTCTTTTGAGTCTTCATTTTCAGCTCTGAACAGACATTTAGTGTTACAACATTTCTGCCACTTTTCCCAACTGCCTTACTTACGAACAAACGACGACGAAAGGGCAGTTTCCCTGGATTGTAGCGTGTTGATGGTCAAGTCTGGATCAACGCAACATTCAATAAAACATCTCTTCCAGTAATAATCTGAGTTATAGTAAATTTGGAAACAGATTTTTTTGTTGTTTGCTTTTATTTACCATAATTAGACTCTACTTCCTCCTCTCAGGCAGTTAATATGGAAACCTCCATGTTGGGGGAACCTTGGGTAAAATGAACAGTAACTTTGGTTTGTTTTTTGTTCTGCTAAGCTTTCAATAGGGCCTATTAAAAACTTAAATGGCACTTTGTGTGGATCACTGAGTTTTTTACACGATTCAGAAGAATTTTATGATAATGCTTATGTCATATTCAGGAAGCTACAACGTAATACACAAAGGTATCTCCTGTTCTTCTTAGTTCTGATGAATTATGGTGACAGTAACTGAACCCAGCTTTAGCTTCCTTCTGAATGTGGAGCCTCACTCTATTTAGCAGAGCAATGGTCAGATTAGCAACAACAGGCCATACAAGCCCAGATACAGGGCTAGAGCACCCACCTCTTTGCCATGTTTGGGGTTTTATTTTCTGTTCCTTTTATCAGTTGCTACAATGCATGATGGATCACAAAGCTGTGAGGGAAATCAATGTTCAAGTTCATGCTCACATTAATACTGCTGAGACAGACTGGAACAGCTGTACCAAGTGAAATAAACTACTGCTGTGCTCAGTCTTAAAAAAAAAAAAAAAAAAAAAGAAGAAGAAAAGTGGATAGTTTTTAAAGAACGAAAATTTGGTGCTGTTTGCAAATCTGTGAAAAGTCTTACTTGATATGTAGTTTTTAACAATATTGGCTATAAAGAGACTTACAATGCATTTGATTCCTGAGCATCTTGCGCAAAAGCATTATCCACCTCTGGGTTCTTTCCCTTACACAATGGTAAGGCAAAAAAAAGCAAGCTGGTTTGCTCTGCTGGCCTTTGCAGAAAGACCTGCGAAATGAAGTGTAACTCTTTTATGAATAGGATCCCTTAGTAACTACATCTGTGAATGAAAATACATTAGAAGTCACTGTGGTATCTCAGCGTGTTCTTGGACAACTCCCTAATTCTTGCTGCATTTGAAGAAATTGCCAAGTGACCCATAATTCAGGTATTAACACTGTGCACCTCAAGGCAGAGGTCAGACAGTGTAGCAAGGTAAAGAAGAGCTGTACCATTTGACCAGAGTCGCTGTTGAGGCAGGCTCCAACCACCAGAACTATAAAATGAATTACTGCCTTCCATTTTTCTTGTTACTGTCCATTAACTAATGATTTTCAGCTGCTTCTCTCCTACTGCAAAAGCAGAACTGGGGTCATTCTTTTTCCTAAACTTGTAAATTAATGTTGAACCACTGTGCAACAGAAAGACTCGACATACTTGCAAAAAGTATTTATTTTTACAGGAGTATTTGATGTAAAATGAGAGTGTACGGGTAAGTACATTCAGAAATCTGCAATTTTAAATTCAATTAGGATGTTTTCTAATCAGTGGGGCAGTATGTTCCTAGGAAAGAAGAGCTACACTCGATATAATCACTGTGCAAAAAAGGAGCACCACAGGGGTACAGAAGACATTTCAGAAAGTGGAAGGTCTGGCATTTCTGGTAAAAGTTAACTTAAACAAGACAAGAGAGAGAATGCTGATTTTGTGCTTTCTGTAGTTCAAGGATGATACCTGGTCACTTTTCACAGGTATCTGCCCTTCCAATTAATTTCCTGAGACCCACCCCAAATCCTGCTAATTTTATATTGTTTTTTTTTAATTTGGCATAAAGGTTTTAAACAAAATGTTAAGTACAGAATATAGTTTCATTGAATTTCAGGGATTATTAATGTTAGCCAAATTACTGAAGTGCATGAAATTATTCATATCTAGAGTCCCTGGCATCTACAAATTGGAATGTTTGTTTCACCAAAGAGCAAGGATAAACCCCAATTTTTTTGCACTAAAAAACAACCTAAAGCCACAGTAATGTGTCTGTGTGTAGTTCATTTTGTATGCGTGCTGTCTTGGGTACAGTGAGCCTCTGGAAGGCATAAATACTGAGAAGTAAATGTTTTTGTCAGATGATTGTTTTAGCAGTCACATAATCCCTTCTTTGATGTCTTGGGTCAAAGAAATCCTAGTACCATCAGGGTTTAGTAGGAGGTCTATTAAAAAGAGTTTCTCTGTCATCTTTCCTGCAACAGAAACAGCAGTAAAAGTTATTAGTCTGTCACGATAAAGGACTATCTGTGTATTCTTCATTGCCCCAGCTTTCTAATTGGAGTTACCGGTAGAACGTAACTGTGGTCACAGAGTTATAATGATCTCTTTAGATTTCTAGAGCTGCCACAACAAGGTTTGGAAAAAACAAAGATTCACACTGCAAGCACATTTGCTTGGTTATTAGCAGGTTACTCTGAAAATAATGCTGGTGGTCAGTTACCCGAGCAATACTGTGTGATATGCTACATATCCACATACCTTCTCATCTCAAGCCAACAGTTGTCTATATAGTACTGAGGTAGTTTTTCCACCTTGGGCCATTTAATGTTTAACATCAGGACATCACATAATGTATACTGATTCGTGTTTTGGGAGAAAACAGTAATATTTCTCAAAGGTTCTGACAAAAGGTACATCTTTTTTTTGCTCTAGGGCTCGACTCCTGTTCCTGCTGAACTGAGCCAGTGTGTAAAATCAGAACTGATATCAGCTCAGTAGGCACCGGAGGACGGGTCCATCAACAGCCTGGAACAACAGCAGCAGCTGTATGTTGTTTCCAATTGGAGCTGCCAGAATTTCATGCAAACAACACACGGTGCTAACCTACAACTGCAGAGAGATCAGGACAGCATCCATTAAAGAGAAGACTATGAAACAAAGCTTTATAGACAATTCCAGGTTAAAGTCACATACATTTATTTACTCTGACATTTAGAAAAGCATGGTAACCAAATTATTGTAAGCAGTGCCTTACATCTGCAGTCAGATGGAGAACTGGACGAGTGCTGTTATTCTCTACTGAAGCCAAGAGTCTTTGGTCCTCCCCAGGTCATCTCTGCCTCTTATCCTTGGTATCCTGCATCTCACACACATGCATTCACTGTAAATCTGCCCATTCAGCTCAGCCAGCAAACGCTCTCTGCCCTGCACAAGCTGACATTAAGCGAAGTTTCAACCCTTCTCTTCAGGTGTAGAACTTAGCCACTGTGAACAAAGAGGGAAACAATCACTGTTCACCAATTAGCTAAGCTCTGCACCTCGCCAGAGAGGTTCCTGTCTTGGTGTAGCTAATTATGAGAGCAGGCTCTTCCACAAAGCATCTGCTGCTGTCCTCTGTTGCCTTCCTGTTTTACGGACAGGGCAGATTTCACACTGTGCACAGATCAGGTAGTTATGCTGAGTTTCATACGAGGAGCTGGTTATGGCTGTGTGGTAATCCCTGGCAATGTGATTTTAATCTTAAGTCACAAATCATCATGCCAGGAACCCAAACAACCACAACATTAAAAGAAAGCTGTGCAGTCACACAAAGTGTTGTACTCATAACAGTATCTTTAGATTTTATGTTATAGCTCACCATGGACTTCTAGTCTGTCTGAAAGGCCAAACGGGCAATTCTAAACTACTCCTAACACGTATATCACCACATAATTTTCCCATGCTAGATACTCACCACCAGAAGCTTGTGCAAATTTTGATTTTTATTTTATTATTGAAGGAAATATCTAAGACAGTTCCTAGTACACAGTGCCAGAACAAACTGCATCTCCATGTTTCTGGCCTTCAGACACTTGAAGGCATCTACTAGACTAAAAACTGTTGAAAATTTTCTTGGCAAGCATAATTCTTGTCTATACAAAAGAACAAAATGGCTGTTCATAAACAAACTTGTTTTCATGGTATATATCATCTGCTATATTTCATATGAATAAAATAAACATCACAAATTCAAGTGTTCACTACAAGTACTGCTACATGTACAGGCTTGAATGGGAGAAAATGAAGATTTCTGCTCAGTACCCATTAGAAATTGATGCTTTTGATAATTCAGATGCCTGAATTTTGATACCATAAATCAACTGTAAAGTTATGTGAACAACCAAGGCAACCAGAGTGTCAGTTGGGTTATATCATTAAGCAAAAATCTGAGGTATGCTGTACTGGAAGAGACCTTCATACCAATCCTAATTGGCTGTGTGTTAAACATGCATGTACAGACACTGTAAGCTTACCTCTAGTTACTCAAATAGACTGAGAAATGGAGAATATGTTTGCAAATTACCAGTTTATAGACTGCAGCAATCTTTACTCCATGAACATTTCTTGCAATTCTGCTTTTTCTCTGGCGATTCCTTCCCCCCCTAATTTCAGATTATGTATGATGGTAAGCAGTTTTTTCATGTTAAGGTTGCTCTTCTTACCTCGTAACCAGTCTTCAAAGGCCTCACTACTCTTAACACAAAGCCATTTGAATTATCAGCTTGTTCTCACATGATTCAGGTTTGCTTCCAAGCGCAAAGCTTCATGTGTCCATTGTAAGACTGCTGCCTATCAAGTCAACACGCAGCTTCATTAAACAGAAATGCTCCTTGCACAACTGCAATTTCTGTGAGAGGAGTTAAAAATACAGAATGGGAAACAACTGCAGGGGAGGCCTGGCCTGCTCTGGCCATTCAGACTTACAGTTGCCTCTTGTACAGTCCATTGCAAAGTTTACAACAAAGCCATGCTCCATGCTCTCCAGCTAGGGTCTACAGGTATCTAACCCGCTGCTACAGCAGATGGAATTAAAAAAATAGGAAGAAGAATTTAAAAAAAAAAAGAAAAAGCAAGACATTTTTAACAAGAGTTACTTCTCGAGCAAAGCAGCCACAAGCTCTATGGTGTGCCAAAATTTATTACATCTGCACCTTATTTCAGCATGAGGCAAAGCCAGGGTGTTTAATCTAAAAAGAAAAATCACCTCTTCAGAACAACATCTCTGCCACCACTTTGGCTGAGGATGCATCCATATGTTCTCGCGCTGCAGCAAAGCATTTATGTGCAAGTTCTTGTTGTTTCACATCTTCATTCACCATTAATTCACCATAGAGATACACACCCATTGCCTGAAAAAGGAACACAATACACAGGCATCCTATCACCAGTAATAACCAGTTTGCTGGTTTTCATTCTAGTGGCCTTCTAGTACTCATTTAATTCAAAACGAAACAAGACAATCCAAAATACATAAAATAGCATTTACTCTAGAGCATTTACCCTTCCCCCCAAACAAGTAGTTTTCTCTGGACCTCTTTAGCCTAAGGATGCTTGTCTGTATGTTGTATTGAGTGTGTAAGAACAGGATACTAATATAAGGGGTATATGTTATGTCGTGACAAGAAAATGCTCTCTCACTCCATTTTTCTTTCTACTTTTCAAGTTGAAATCTGTATTCTTTTATCCACCACCTCAAATATTTCCAAATGCCCCTTAAGAAAACAGCTTTGTCCTTCCATTAAATAGTTTCTGTCCAACTGGGATTTTTACACACACATGAATGAAGAGGACGTCAAGTGAAACAGTCCCCTCTAAAGTTCCCATTTGGCAGTAACTGGATGTGAACTGAACTCAGTCATCTCTGTCTTTCAGACTCTACATCTGAGGTATGGCCTGAACATGCACAAATTCTGGCTTGATAAGGCAGCAGGCTTTTCCTAAGTACTCATTCTGGATATAGCAGCTCTCAAGAAAGACAATGGGGGACCTGGAGGTGAAGTCTGGAGCCCTTCGAAGGCAGGTAGCAAAGCACTGCCTAACTTAACAGGGGATTGCCTTTTGTTCTGATGATACATTTTTTTTTCCTAATTACAGAAATGCAGTAAGTGTTAATCCCCATTTATCAAAATAGGATATACATGTGACAAAATATTAGCAGGTTAGCACGCTGACTTTTACAGTTGTACTTACTGTTTGGACACTTGCCTAAGAGGAAAAAATTGTACAGCACTGAAAAAAACAATTTTTAGTACTATTGCCCACAATTTCTACCTTTGCTGGTAAGCCTTAGAAAACATTAGCTTCAGTAGGAAGGGAAGAAGTTTAGCAAAGACTGACATTAAAGGAAAAAATCCCAGAGTGGTAGAAACCTGCCAGATTCCTTGCCAATCCCCTAAGTGTGTGTTCTGCCTCCCAGAGACCCAAGAGCTCACATTTCCAGCATCCGCAGCTGCACCAGGCACACACACACAGCTTCGGAGCTAGGCTCCAGCTGCTTTCATAGAGAATTTCAAAATGTTAAGAGTTTTGTTACAAACAGGAATTACCTTCTCTACCCAGTGTTAGTAATTTCGCCGCAAGCCTAAACATCAACAAGCAGTAAACACACAGAGTTTCTGCAGACCTGAAAATAGTCATATTTGCATTTTTTCCTAGATTTCCAAAAAAGCTAAATCTTGCACAATCAGTAAGGCCATGCAAGTGCTCTGATTTGAGCTGCAGTCACTCCAGAAGCTGGTTGTGCCATAAACTGCATGCACTGCTGGGGTTAAGTAAATTAAATGAAAGATACTGAAGATTACATTTAAAAAAAAAGTTGCAAGAATCATGTCCCTGCACTGCAGAAAACATTACTCTTTATTTGGCATAGTATCTGTTCCAAACATAATGCAAGTCAGTATGTTTGGCTTTATGGACTCATGGATTCCCCCTCCGCCACAGCTTCTACTATGGTTATCTCCATCCTTTCATAGGATGGACATACGCACAATCTATACAACTCCTTATTTTCATAAAGGATGTTGGTTTATGCCTTTTTTTTTTAAGAGAGAGAGCTTGCCAGGATGTTTGGCTCTTGTTTATTGGCTAAGATATAAATAGAAGGTATACTACAGAACTGGAAGAAAGACTGCAATAGTTTTATTGTGCTGTTGTGACAAAGCATATTTGCCTGAAATCACAAAAACCTCACTGGCTGTAAACGGCTTGGTTAGTTGTCAACATAAAAGGTAAAATCATTAATATCTTGCCTAGACTTTGACCTATCTTGCTATTTTTTACATACATACATTTTAAATATATAACAGTCATTCTAGGCAGTGAATTGTAAGAGTTCATAGTGAATAAAAATAAATAATGTGACATAGAAAGAATGAGGCAGACGTGCAATTAGAATTGTAAGTCCATAATGCCATAAATAAAAAGCTGTAGTAAAGATGCCATGTGCAGCCAGCCTTTCAAGACCTTCAAAATCTTCTGGTAACATTTCCCTAACCATGGACAGGCCTGCATTCTCTGGATGTATATCACTGTGCTGTGCTTCTCCTGGACATCATCTTGAAAACCTGAAGTCAGCACAGCACTGACTTCTTTGCACCTAGCTCATATCTGTGCATTAACATTCAGAGCTATACTTGCCTTTGTCATCCTAAAACAGGAAACAATGCTGAGAAGTACCTTCCTAGCATCATTTCTACCCTACATAATATGGAAGGAGAGGAGAAAATATTCCCTATTACACCACTTATTAGAGGATCAGCATGCTTAGGAGGGGTTGAATAAACTTCCTTGAACTACAGTGTTTAAGGGCAAAAGAGGCAAAATCTAAATACATATTTCAGTATTTGACAAATTTAAGCAAGGAAATATGTTTAAATAATCTTCTTAGTTTCACACTAAGAGTGTCAAAAGCGTATTATTTGGAAAGGGCTAATTAAATGTAACTGACCTGATCTTCTCTGAGGAATTTCTCAACATCTTCATACCCAGGCACATACTTGTGTTTAACAATAAGCTCGCACCACCGATGCCGAACCTTTGAGAAGAAAAAAAATATTAGAGAAAATCCCCCAAACTGTATTGTACCTGCGCACATGCTGATAAAGGATACATCTCTAATCAGTTTTGTTTCATCATTGTTGTTGGGTCTGGTTTTTTTTTTTGTGGGTTGTCTCCCCACCCCAGCAGCCAGGCAGGTGCCTCTCAACACCGGTCGGTAAGCCGGTTGGTGCAGCGCTCTGCACATGCAAGCCCAGGCTTTGGAAACCCAGAATGCCTAATGACAAACTCCTGGTTCCAGGCACAGATCTGCAGCATCTTCACCTCCACTGTTTTCAGTCTTGATTTCTTTTCCCTTAAGTTAGGCTAGAGGTGGTTTCTTTTATACTGATGGAAGGGGGGGGAGGGTGAGGAGATTAGCACTGGAAACATCTGGAAGAGACATATGATACAACTGATAACTTCCCCTATGTAAGTGTATAGTCCAAGGGATAAAAAGGCTTAAGTATAATTCTGTACCGATATTAAATCCATGCCAGGGTAAGAGTTAGATATAAAACCATGAAACAGGGAGCTTTCAGTTAAACAAAACACAGTTGCCATCCTATCTTTGACAGTAAGAGATTTTAAGCACCTTGCAAAGCACTTAAAATGCTGGGCTGTTCTACCAAATGCGCATTGACAAAAACAGTTATTAACATACAGTAATGAAAAGCATGGAAATTTACAAGCAAATCACAACTGAAAAACATTTTTAAGTAGGGTGAACATTAATTACACGTGGGTGTTTTTCGTTGTTGTTGTGTTTAGATTTCTGATTTGTTCTTAGCCACTTCTGTGGCGTGTCATCTTACTCTCCAGCAAGGCTTCCTCAGCTGTAAGCAGTGATCAGCCTAGCATTTTATATTCCATTCGTGGCTCAGCACTGATTATAAAGGAAAAGTTACATGCAATAAAACTCCTCCACCCTCGCAATCCTTCTGTTTCAGCCTGTGTTCTTACCATCTTTCAAAAGACAGGGCACCCAGTAACAATAACGTGTCACAGTAAAGTGTTAGCAGTTCTAACAGTTTGCAAAACCAAGTCCAAATTGTGCTCATGTTGAGTAACTGAACATGTACCTTTTTCTGAATGACAGATTTACTGGTAACATTGAGAAGGGAAGCCAGAAAGGGAGGGAAGAATGTCACACTGAAGTATATTGTTCTCGGAGATACAGTACTTAAAAATACTTTCCTTGTCCTAGTCCTTGCCAACTTTTCATCTCAGGAAAAAATTTCAGACTTCATGTAATTAGATGTTAATCCTATTAGCATAATTAACAAGTGATAAATGCTCACAGGTTGTGAAGAGTCCTAGAGTCCTTGTTTGGGTACCTGATGCCTCTTTCCAGCTGACCTCTTCAATGAAAAGTTTGAACACCACTTATGAATGAAATAAAATACTGAGGGGTTTTGTGGCTGTGTGGAGTTTGCACTCACAGCATGTAAGATCCTGAACAGTTACAGTGCAATGGATGGTAGGGAATGAAAGCAGTCTCTTGAAGGTTTCTGCTGACAAAACAAGAGCTGTTAAGACTCCTCCAAATAGGAACCAGCGCTAAATCTACAAAAGTAAATGGCTTTCCAAGATTCATCTCACTTTGCTATAGATGCCCATATCCACAATGTAAACCTTCAAAACCCTGCCCAGTTGCTTCTTCTCCCTGGAGACGTTAAACATTTCACTAGTAAATCTTCCCAGGCAATCCAGCTTTGTTACAGAGCATTTCTCATAATATCGAGCAGCTTCATGCCAGGACCAAACCTTCAAAGCTCAAAAATAAAGCATATGCCTCTCTCATCCACAGAGTGAGTGAACCAAACAGAATACAAGCACATTTAAAAGGCTGTATATCTTCATCTGATACACATTATTCTGCACATATTAAAAAAAAAATCTTTATGTATTCTCATGACATGTATGAAAAACGTAAGGAGAAAGAGACTGGATATTCTCCTGGGATCACTGCTCTTCTACATCTCATGGTCCATCAGTTACAGCACTTATTCAGGAGGTGAACCATCAGGTCCAGTTTCTGTGTCTGAAACTGCACCGTGAGTGAGAATATTCCATCAGCACATTATAAAGCATTCTGGGGTGGCACTCTCTTCACACCTCCTGATGAAGCTGGTTTTGCCCCTGCAGTTCCTAAAATATTTATTGATACTAAGTTAAGAGGTCACAAGACTTTAGGGCCTAAACTTCTGAGTGCTTTTGACAAGAAGCAGGGACCTGGTGCATAGTGCACAAGCCAGCTCATCCCCATCACTGCAATAGCTGCAGGGAAAGCAGAGGAGAAGTTCTTCCTGCGAAGGCATTTGCGCGGTCCTGCTACCTCACATCTAATGTGGTGTATGTCTGCCTTACATTTGTATCATGGCCTGATGATCTGAATCCTAATGGCTTTGGAGACCACTCAACAATTGAGCTGTGTCTCTTCCCTTAAGTTTCCTGCCTCCACAGGGCTCGTCCTTTCAAATAGTTTAAAGGAAAAGTATTTATTTGCTGAGTGAGGCCTGGGATAGCACACGCTTTTCTTTCGTTCATTTTCCCCCCTTTCTTTCCCAGGGAAAGCACAAATCCTGGCATGTTTACAGACCTGACATGCTGGCGCTTCTCCAGCTGGGGCAGAAGCAGCATTTCTGTTATCCTCAGATTACACGTTTGTCCCGTTTTCCAAAATGCCCAGATGCTGTCGTGGCAAAGCAAGCCACAGGAGAACCAATTGCTGCCGAAGGGCCGCAAAACCAGGAGGAGGGTCGGCCCCACCAGCTCTCCCTTGTCTCATATGGGACCCAGTGGGCAAAGCACAGAAACTGAAGATGGCTCTGAGTGAAACGGGGCAGGGGGTGACCTGCACAGTGCTGGCACTGAAATCTTCACTGCTACTTGGACTGAACATATGTATCGGTTACTTTCCTGTCCCCCACACGCCCCATGCAGTGTGGCACTCAGATGGCCATGTAACACAAACTGCACCTAGACCAAACAAAGTCATTCCTCTGGTACATGCACTATAAATAAGTAATTTTTCTAGTATAATCCATGCCCTAGGCTTACACCACAAACATGGGAATTTTATTCACATAAGGATGGAAAAAGAACCATCAGTTCCCAATGCCTCAGCCAGTGCTTAGATCAAGAAAAGTAAAACAGGCCCCACAGCTTCACAGCCTAATGAATGAGTCATGTGAACAGGCACTTTTAACAAACCAGTCTCAAAAGGAAATTCTGGAAAATAAGTAGCTTGTGGTAGGGCTGAGCTAACCATACCGCATCCTGTATATGCTTCTCTTGGGTTTTCTGTTCCTACCAGGAGCAAACATAGGAATTCATTACTCCTCTCTGGATCTTCTACACATGGCGCTGTGCTCTCCTGCATGGTTCGGAGATGCATACCATATGTAGTTCTGGCTGGGAACGCCACAAACAATACAAACTGAACCTGAAAAGCAATTTACAGCAATCCTTCCTGCTTTCTGCTGGCAGAAAGCACATACAACTTTGTCTGGATGTGAAGCAACACCTGCAACCGTCCTCCTACCCACACACACACTCTTACTGGTTTGGCAGCTGCAGGGACCCACGTGCCAAACTGGGAAATGCAGTTTCTTCTCTCAGCCTCCAGTGCTGACCTTCCAAGACTGTGGCTGACGCCCAGGACTCCCAAGGATGGGGAGAGGTGGACGGGTTGATAGAGGTCTACTGGGAATTCCGGTTTGTTGTGGGTGGGTCCTCATTGCCTAGAAATTGTTCTTCCCTCCTGCCCTGCTTTTACAGCTGGTGTGAACATCTCCACTACCAGCTTTTTAAGCTAAATGAAGACTGTTTTTCAAGACACAGCCCATATTAGTAGTGCACTTCTGAGGCACAGTTCATTGCTAGGAGAACAGTGAGACGGTCATTGTCTTGGGTACAACATTTGAAACCCATCTCTTACATTTTCATAAATATTAACCATATCATAATCTAAGTACTGGCAAGCACTGAGATGAAATGTCTTGAAGGGATGCTGCTGTCAGATAGCAGAGTGTTCCAAATTTAGAAGCAGCAACGTACACAACTCCAATGGTCCTGTATTATCCTTTAGTTTCATTTTAAGAAAAATACACAATATAGAGCAACAGTATTTGCAACTCAAACATTACCTGGATTTTGGCAGTGCATGGAAGATGTTGAGAAACCAAGATTAACTATGCTGACTTAGTCTGTTCTCAGACAACACAAGCTGTTGTGTAAAATTATTTAACTGAAATATAATAGTAACCCACCTCTAAGGCAGACCTTTTGTTTTAGCAACCTGGGTCAAAGCCTTTTGGGAAACAGTGCTTGAAGCTAACTGATTAAATCCATCTAAGGCACCAAATATATGGCTTGACTTTCAAAAGGAAAGTCCTCAGTGACATATCTGAGCAAAAATATTTTAAACTATTTCGAACGCATCTTAAAGTGGTAACTTTTTTCTTGACCCAGGTGATAAATTACTTTGCATACGCCATATTATTCTCCCCTTCCACACATGAACAATCAGACAAGCCTAAAACAAATATCCTCATAGAAAGTTTTATATTTTATACTGTAATGATCCAGCTTACTAATGTTCTCCATCATATATATACCGCAAAAAATTAAATATTTTACTTCTGAGGTCTACAAGTAAGACTTACAAAGCAAGTAATTTAAACCATGCCTTTACTAAAGGGAGAAAAAAGCTAAGCCTTTTTACTATGCCTTTGGTCTGCAGAATGGGAGACTAGCTTCAGGGAACATGAGTACATTTTGCTAATAGCTGGATCCAATTTAAAAGGCGCCACGAGACAACAAATTTAAATCACTGAACAAAAGCAAATACTTCGAGATCTTAGAAAATGGGGTAAATACATTGAAATACAGTAAGAGTTACTGTTCGATAAAATGGAAACTTTATTAAAGGTAGGAGGCATTTTTGATCTTTATAAAACACAGGTTCGGACTCTATTGAAAAAAGATATTTTT